CTGCATGTCTCGAGGGCAGAGCGTTACGGGCCTGCACCGCCAGCCCTGAGCTGACGGCGACGGGCCCTGCGCTGGGGCCTCGCTGCGTCTCGTATCTGCTGTGTTTCGTGTCTGCTGTGTGTCCTCCCTGATGGGTATCGCGTCTGCTGTATATCGTTGTCTGCTGTGTATCGTGTTTATTATGTATCGTGCGTGTCTCGTGTCTGCTGTGTCTCGATGTCGCCCGGCGCTGGATGTGAATGCGGAAGAGGCTGACGTAGAGGTCTGTGTCCGTCACTGGTCGGCGTTTGGCCGTGTGGCATCTGCTCATTGGCGAGGGTACTGGTAAAGCACGTGCATCGTGCAGTGCGAGTGCAATAGCGTAATGTTTAAGCGACGTGCATGAAGTTGTTACTATCTGTATTATTTACCGTCAGATGCGTATGGCGCAAGTGGCAATGCAGTGAAGCCTGCGATCCCGTTCAAACCCTTGGCAGCGGAGCGGGTCACGACAGCCACGACGCATGTCCTGCCTTACAAGAAACACGCGTATGATAAAAGGCGCATGTCTTGCTCGTGACGTGGACCTCGATGGATTTGATGGGTTTATTACACTGACATTGCACACGACGTTGATAACAAATGCCACTCAGCGGAAAACCAGAGATCTCGCACCCACTCTCGTTGGCTTCCTCTCCGTCGGACGCGCGACGCATTGCTGAGTCGCCGACCGCGTTGGGCATTCGCCACCGTGCCTCGCGGACGCCCAAATAGCCCTCGGAAACAAATGGATCAGCCAGCAGTCAGGACATACCACCATGAGCATACCGCCACCAAAAAACGCAGGATATACAGCCACCAGTCATCGAAAAAAGCAACGGATACACAGACACCAGTCGTCAAACCAACGCAGGATATACCGCCGCCAGTCGTCAAACAGCGCAGGATTTACCGCCGCCAGTCATCAAACAAGGCAGGGATATACCGTCGCCAGTCATCAAACAGCGCAGGATATACCGCCGCCAGTCATCAAACAGCGCAGGGATATACCGTCGCCAGTCACCAAACAGCGCAGGATATACCGTCGCCAGTCACCAACCGCGCAGGATTTACCGCCGCCAGTCGTCAAACAACGCAGGATATACCGCCACCAGTCGTCAAATAACGCAGGATATACCGCCACCAGTCGTCAAACAGCGCAGGGTATACCGCCGCGCGCATACTGCAAACAGCCTTCATGTCCCTGAACTGTCTCGGGCCTTGATTGTCGGCTCTCGGGTCCCACCGCCCGCTATCCTCTACGACACGGGTCTGCCCAGCCAGCGCAGGGGGCCGGCAGGTGAGGAGCCGCCGGCGCAGGGGGCCGGCAGGTGAGGAGCCGCCGGCTACTTTTCATGGTGAGCATGACACACGAACACGGTTCCGGTGGTGGACGCTGGTTGTCACGTGCAGTGCTTAGTACCCAGCACACTACCTATCTGCTTTTAGCACACGGAAGCTCATCAGAAGTCTCCAAAAGTGCAAGAGAATCCACATATACAAGAAACGGGAATTTCAGTTCTAGATAGACCAACCACTGGATTTCAATAGAGCGTGGCATGGCGTACGGCACATCAGTTAAGACAAACATCATAGAGACAGGCTAACAAGTACGCATGCGCAAAACGGACGGAGAGAGAGAGAGAGAGAGAGAGAGAGAGAGAGAGAGAGAGAGCAGGACAGAGCAGTGCGGTAAAGAAGAAAGCACGACAGGTGACGTCACGAAAGAGCTCTCTCCTATACGTTCACTTTCCGAGCGGCAGTGATACAAAAATACGCACAAACCACCTAGTGTGGGGATATTTTATCCATCTTACGCATGGTTCGTCGGCTGTGGGGCGTTATATCCATAGCCGTTCACTCCTAATCTAATCCAGTAGATTGTCCGCCATTGTCCATGACTTCCATTTAAATATCAAAGTCATTTCGCAAGTTTTACGCCTAGATTCAGTAGGTCACAGTAACAAGCAGAAACGTGACGTACATGCGGCTACTTAAGGCGTGCGCAGAATCAACCACAGTTTTTGGTATTTTCAGCAGCAGTTTTTTGATTATTTGCCCACACCCGTACCCACAGGCGTACTGTCCCCACAGACGGAGTTGTAATTGTCTTTATATCAAATCTACCTGACCGAGCTCGTCACCCGTTCCAAGTGGGTGGCAGCGGGTCTACCCAACCCCGGGGGACTTTTGCCTCTAGCCCCTTGCTCTGATCAACAAGATTTATTGCTACGCATTTCCCGATGCAGATCTGGAGCAACGCATGAACAGATACACCATATTGTCGCCAGTCATTTGACGCTGTCTCGCAGGGCGCTGTCTTCACCCTCGTGGTCCTCAAGCGGCCCGCTAAAATCATGTTGTCGCTTCATTTCCACGAACGCCGCCCGACTCCGCTTCGCTCGGGTACATCACAGACAACAAAAAAGACGTCGCAGAGCATTCAGCAGGGCGACTTCACCCACACCGCGCGCTCTCACCTGAGTGCTTCCCGGGTGGCCGCGTGACGCGTCCAGCTGGCGCCAGAATAACCAGCACAGGGTCCAGTCATGAGACGCGTTTCCGTCGGTGTTAACCCGCAGCGCAAGGTTCGTGTGCAGCGGTACAAGGACCCGTCCACAGGCCACAGCGGGCACAACACCCCCCACAGCGGACACAAGACCTGTCCTTAGGCCACAGCGGGAACATGGAGCCGTCCACAGGCCACAGCGGGCACAATGACCTGTCTGTAGCGGACACAAGACCCGTCCACAGGCCACAGCGGGCACAATGACCTGTCTGCAGCGGACACAAGACCCGTCCACAGGCTAAGACTGGAACAAAATCCGTCCATAGGCCACAGCGAGCACAAGACCCGTCCACAGACCACATCGGGAGCCGTTCACACGCCACAGCGGGAACGAGGAACCGTCCACATACCACAGCGGGCACAGGACCTGTCCACAGCGGGCACAAAGGCCCGTCCACAGCGAGCACAAGACCCGTCCACAGGCCACAGCAGGCACAAGACTCGTCCCCAGGCCACGTTGGACACAAGGACCCCTCCACAGGACATATCGGGCACAAGAACTGTCCACAGGTCACAGCAGGAACAGGGAGCCATCTTTAGACCACAGCGGGCACGAGACCCGCCCACAGGCCACGGCGGGAACAAGATCCGTCTACAGCGAGAACAAGACCCGTCCACAGACCACAGCGGGAACAAGGGGTGATGGCTCTGTTATGGGTCCGCTGGTCTGTGCCCCTGGTTATGAGTTCGCCGGCTTGTGCCACCGGTTATGAGTTCGCCGGTCTATGCCACCGGTTGTCAGTTCGCCGGCCCGTGCCGCTGGTTATGAGTTGGCCGGCCTGTAGTTTTTATTTCCACGCAGTTTGAATGAAGTGACATTGCTGGCGGAGACAGCACCACTCGCAGGAAGATGTCGATATTATGCTGTCTTTTTCTTCATTGAATCGGCACGGAAAGACCATTATCCTTTACCGATATGTGAGACAGAATTAATGACTTTAATCCTTGTTTAATATCTAGGAAACAGAATGGAGAGTTACATTGATATTTTACCTACAAGTCTTTGTTAAAACAATTCTGAGCAGACAATGCAAAACTGTTTTGAGTTTACTGCTCCTAGCTGTGTTGACAAAGGCTTGTAGCCGAAAAATGCCATACATCTCTCCCTTTTCTTCTAGTTGTTCAGCGAGGAATAAGGCCATTAATACTCTCTTACGTGCGTGTAATGTTCCTCGCAGCTGTACCAAGCAACTCACGTCACCATCGATTTATCATCATTAATTACGCTGCGCTAGCACAGTTCTGATCTCAAACAGCCTATATCTTCACGTTCAGCAGCGTTATAAGGCAGATTATTGACACTGAAACCCGCCACGGCATCGGACTGGCGGACCTGCCGAGTGAGCGTACATATGACCTGCTCGATCTACCCTCAGCACGATTGTCAGCTGGAATTCATGACGTCATGCGTGCTGACGGAGCGTTCGATAAGAGGGCTCATGGGAAAGCTTTCAACTTCACCTTTATTTTCTATTTTACCTTTTAACTGAACTTCAGCCTGACACACTATATATGCCATGAAATGTGGAACTGTGGTACCTGCTTTGGTATTACCATCCATCCTACCAGCAAATTGGGTGCTTCTGTTCATTTCCGGCTCATTCGAAATTTTTCCTTTCTTATATTAACTCAAACTCCATCTTTGAGGAGAAGGTGCCTTTTCACTGCTACTTGTACTAAAATGAACGCCATCATTTTATTCAGTTCCTTCATGTGGTGACGATGTCCATCTTCCAGACGCAAAGAACTGTGTTTCTTCTCTCTCTGTCTTACGATTTCTCCAATGCTATCAAGCTACTGTGCAACACAACCACTTACCACACCACTCCCCGTCACTCAGCGCTCTGTGCATGGGGGGGAACGGCCGCCCCCCCCCCCCCCCCCCCCGGCTCTGGAGGTTACACATTTCCGACGTCGCAAACAATGTGAAACGCCGCCGAGCAGCAGCCGCACCGGCTAGCAGTCCACCCCGTGTCCGCCACGCACGGGAATGGTCACAGTCCAAGTTGGCGCCAGAAATCGGAACCGCCACTAAGCGGCGCCACCGAAAGAGCCCGCAATGCTGTGCGTCGCCGGTGCTTGAGCACGCTGCGAGGTCAGATGACCCTCCCCTGGTCACCTGACCCCACCTGGGCATGGCAGACTGCCTCGATCACGTGCATTGTCAGGTCACGTCACGAAACGTGATCGCATCACTGACCATGTAACATTGCCTGATGGCGTGGTATTGCCTTTTCAAGTGAATGACGCGTGTGAACGATGTTGCCCTATCACAATGACGTCATTTTGTCACGTGACCTCGCCTCATGGCGTAGTGTTGGCTGACAGGCAGCCTAAGATCTTTTCAGATACCCACTACTTTGGCAGTGTCTTGGACGTAGTCTGTCGGATTCCTCAGAAGCTACTTCTCGTGGCGTTTCGGGATTAGTTTTCCACGTAACGAAAGATCATCGTTCAAATTCTGAACTGATCTCTTTTGACTCGCTTGCAGGCCTGGACAGAATTGTTCTCAGAGTTTGTTCCAAACGTCCTCCAAGACCAGGTAACGACCGGGCGTCTCTGGACCTGATGAGAATGACCTGGTACTCCGTAAGTATTATCTTCCCAGCCCCCGGGGAAAATTGTCCTCTCAGTCCCGGTGAGGAGTATCTTCTCAGACTAGATGAGGCTCGCAGTCTTCGTGATGAACGGACATCGTCTCAAGGCCGCCCGAATACTGTCCTCACATCGGGAAAGGAATGTCTTCAGACAGTCTTAAAAAGACGCTCTCAGACCGCGTGAGGAATGCTCTCAGACCGGGTGAGAAATGTCCTCAGGTTGTCTGACGAACGTTTTCAGACCGACTGATTAATGGTCTCAGACAGGTCGGGGAATATTCTCAGGCCGTGTGAGGAATGTTCTCAGACCGGGTGAGGAGCGCCATCTGTCGCGAGCGCGCCGCTCCTCTGTTGGAGTGGCTCCATCTGCTTCAGTCGAATGGAGTTTATCCGATCCGCGGTTGTTTGCGTGGATCCTCTGTGGAAAACGGATGCATATCACTCAGTCAACGAGTGATCAATGATGTCATACCACAGCATCTAGCCCCTGCCCAGTACGAAGCTTTACATGCTTAGTCTCAGACCTAGCGAGGGTGGGGGATAAGCCATTCGAAGCACACGTTTATTGTTTAGACTCCATGACTTAGTTACTGAAGCAATGTCTTGCTTTAGAATCGTATCAATCTGACGTATAAAACGAGAGATCAAATCTCAAATATCGTTCGGTTAACACTTCAGGAAAGTCAAAGATGGAGGGTGAAAACCCGTATGGTTCACAGATCCCAGACAGAGTTTAAAATGATCCCAGATGACCAGCATGCTTCAGCCACATGAATAAGCCACACCTCCTCTGATCAATCGCGGCCAGTTGCATGCTTTACATAGGGGCCCGCTCTCGGCGGCGTGGCCAACGTTGATTGTTTGAATTCCACAAAGGCGTATTTCACGGAAAAGACTTCGGCAGAGCTAATTAAGAAGATAGCGAGGCACATCTGGCAAGCAATCAGTTTTAAAGAGGAGCTACGGATCGACTTAATGCTCTTGATCGGAAAATATGAGGCATTCTGGAAAAGCGAGATGACAGCTGATGGTACAGAACGTGGCAGCGTCTGCCGCTGTGTATCAGTGACGTCACAGGCGCGACTGACCCGAAGAGCCGGCCGCGCAGCGATCTTTGCAGTGAGAAGCGGGACCTTGACTCCTCGGAGGCGTTGTCCATGTCGTACGATTCGTGCGGGCCAGAGCACAGGCTCCTCGTGAACCGGATTCGGAACTCACGCTTGAACTTCTCCTGTAACACGACCGTCGTGTGAAGGTGTGACAGCCATCGTGTGAAGGTGTGATGGTGTGCCCGTGTGACAGTTTCACTATGCGATGGCGTGACGCTGTGACGATGCGATGGTGTGATAACGTGATGGTGTGACGATGTGATGGTGTATGCGTGTGATGGCACAACGGTGTGATGATGTGATGATGTAACGTGGTGGTGTAATACTGATGGTGTGGTGGTGTGTCAGTGTGACGGTGTAATGGTGCGAAGGAGAAATGGTGCGACGGTGTGACGGTGTCGTGTGTGGGAGCAACAGCATAACGGTGTGACGGTGTGACGGTGACACGGTGTGAAAGAGTAACGGTGTGACGGTGTGACGATGCGATGGTGTCATGGTGTGTAGGAGTAACAGCGTGACGGTGTGACGGTGTCACGGTGTGAAGGAGTAAAGGAGCGGCGGTGTGACGGTGCGATGGTGTTAAGGTGTGAAAGAGTAACGGCGTGACGGTGTGACGGTGTGGCGGTGTGCAGGCGACCAGCATTCCTGCATAACGTACCACGCAGCTGGCCAGTATAACCCCATGGTTATTTAAGGTGGTGCAGTGTGTGTGCCATGTGAGCCAGGGTGAGTATCAAAGGGAATCAAGGTGACCTTCTTACAATAACAAATACGTGATATCCCTTAAGTAAGTTTCATTTTTAATGAACTTTGGTCACGCACCTTGTTCACGTAATCGAGAAGTTCTAATATTTAAACTTTTTGTATCTTTGAAAACTCTGAATCGAAAGATCAAAAATTTAAAATTGTCAGTTCGAATAAATCGTAAGTCCAAAAATCTTAACTTCTTGATTCTGTGAGCAAGGTCCGTGCGCAAAAATTCCCTAAATATACAACTTACTTAACGAATATCACGCATATAAGTATTGTAGTCATCTAAGTCCCCTTTTAACTATCTACATGGTTATCTGTCGCCACAGCACACGTAACAGCTGACCGCTTACCACTTGCATTGTGAAGGCATGATAATGATAACAATGTGGCACATTGTTATCATTATTATGCACTGGGGCACATCGTATCACAAATCGCCTTCGTAATGGGCCGTTTATAGCATTGGGAAGGAATGATGGTCGACACAGCATGCTCCTATAACACTATCGCAGTACCTGTGCAAAACAGTAGGCTGGTATAAAAGTGATGGCAATGTATCCCATATGCATAATCGCAGTAAACTGGTATAACGGCTTGGACAGATCACTGTCGTAACGTTGGGCGTTAGTAACAGTGTGAACCCGTGCCACGGTAACAGCACGGCTAGGGGCCGCTATAGCAACACGTGTTGGCATCAGGAAAACAGCATCCGTGGCTGGTCGTCGTCAGCGCACGCCAGGGCCTTACATTGTAGATGCCGTAGATGAACGGGTTGCAGCAGCTGTTCGCCATGGCGAGCCAGTGGAAGCAGAAGAAGATGACATTGATGTAGCGGAACCTGCGACACGCAAGAGACGTAAATGACGGGATAGTCGATGTGTCAGCCTTCGGACCACGAGGATTGAGTTCGAATACCGCACACTGCTCAAATATTTCGCTGCCGGAGTGACGAGACTAAGCCGTAGCGCCAGATATTTCATGACGGTTTCCGCCCTCGGCTCCCACAACACAACACGACGGATGAAAGGCGCAGAAAAGGCGCGGGCGCTGGTAAGCCGGTAGGCCATGTTGCCGTTCGATGACGTCATCGCCGTCCATGACGACATTCTTCGCTTGGCACGCCACTCACTGGCTGATGACGGGGAAGATGGACTGCAACACGTAGTAGAGCTGATACGGCAGCCAGCAGATGATGAACAAGACCACCACAATCACCAGCATCTTCAGCACCTGCCAGCACAGTTGGTTCTCATCGTCTCCACGGTCTCCTTCCGACCGGGCTGCAGCACCGGCATGGACGAAAGGGAAACATGGAATGTGATAATGTGATGCAATGTAACTTAATGGAATGAACGACGCACTCATTGCATCCCCCCCCCCCCCCATCCCTCCTCTTCCGGCCAGCGAAACAGCATGACGTTTCTTTGTTCAGGATGTGGTTCGAGCAAATGGCATCGCATTTCGGACCTATCCTCCTACCTACCGACCATCCTGCTCTCCTCATACTGCCATTCGATAGTGGATCTGACTTCTCGCTAAAGCGATTGTGACATTGCTGTGTGACGACTCAACAACAGTGCCGGTGGGGCAGCGACGCATGTAAATGGCCTGCACATACGACAAACGTCCGCTGTCACGGTGGAGTCAGCGGGCATTTCCGCAGCGCGGGGTGCGAGCCAGCGCCCATCGACCCAAAACATACTGAGTTAACTACCGTGGTGGGCTTGCCGACCGTTGGCTGTGGATCGATCGGTCGGAAGACACGTTTTTCATAACTTCCATTCTGTACCTTTTATGGTTATCCCGTCACACATGCAGGCGATGATGATTTGAAACAGCGCAGCAGAGAAACAATATTGACAAGAACAAAAGGCTCCCGGCCCCCCAAAACAAATAATCTGTACAACCATCACGCTGCTTCAGACCGATGAGCCGCCGGTAACTGCACATCCAGCGGCGGAGCAAGATCGGCCAGTCGAGTTGACTCGGCCGCGCAAATCGCATCGATTCCGTCCGGTGGTTTAGTCTGTTAGAGCGCCTTTCTTCGGATTACCCACCCCTAACCGTGGCCAGGGGGGTTCGAGTCGCATGAAGCGCTCGCATCTGCCCCTGACCGGAATGACCTGCGGCCGATGACAGCGGCCGCGCGAAAGGTCAGGTGACGTCAGAGGTCAAGGTGACCGAGCGTGTCGAGTATAACGGCACGTTAAACTTTCGTCACAATATTTCGCTGCTGCAGCCGCTGCCGAGGTAGCGGAGGGTGTAACTAGGTAACGGTGGGCGTGTCTTTCCTACGGCTTGGCCATCCACGATGCTATTGCCTTGTCTCAACCATTCCGTGAGACTGTAGGCACTGCTTGCCCCGGGCTCTGATCCCAAAAATCCATCCAATCAACTAATTCGAACAAAACCAAGTCGAATTGGACGCCTCGCTGGCTCAGCCTCTCACGCGGCAGCTGTAACTGACCGCCCATCGCTACCTCGGCGGCAGCTGCAGCTGCCGCCGGCTGCTGCTCAGCCGGAGCACACCGCCTCGCCTGCGCGGAGCGCGGCTGGCGAGGCGGCCGCGGGGTGCTTCGGGTGCGATGACTCACGAGATTGTCCTCCTCACGGTTGCATCGCCACGGTTGGCGCTACATCACCAGCGGTCGGCCATGTTGGATCTGACCGGGCCGGCGTCACCCGACCGCGCGGCCTCAGGGCATCGATGATGTCCTCCCCCCACCCACCCCCCCTCCTCCCACCCCAAGTGATGTGCGAGCTGCAGCCTGAGTCTTTGCGTGACCAGAGGGAAAGTCGGCACTGTACTGCGGAGGGAAATCGGTGACTCGATGAGCGGTCAGGAGAGGTGACATCGAGAGATTGCGCTTGGAGGAGTATGGCGCAAAATCGACAGTCGTGTCCTATGATCACGTCGCTCGATAACGGAGGCTTTCAAATATGAGGCTACAGCAAATGGCGACACCCGGGATCTCCACGTTTTGGGGGTTTCGTTTGAAAGAGACAGTGGTTTCGAACAGACGGCAAAATGCAATCCGTGTTTGGTAAGCTTCATTTAACGGCGGACAACAGTGGCGTAGCCAGGATTTTTCATCCCGGGGTAGTTCGGTGATAGCGCAGCACGCCGATTTTTTTTCATTTTCTGTCAGAAGCCATCGATGATGCTAAAACGGTGAGTATAAGGCCCGCATGTTTAATGCGAACCACCTTTCACCTTCCCTCCTCCAGTTGCGCCACTGGCGGACAGCCCGGTTTCCAGGATTTGTGTTCAGCCTTTTTGGGTAAGATGCTTTTCAGCCGTGGCTAACTTTGTCGGGACGCTCCTACTTCGCTCAGGAATAATGCAGGGGATAATAGAGCTAAACAAATGGACGCCAGAAACACCCATGATATAGCCGATCCAAGTGGCAGGCGCTGAGTGAACTCCTCCATAAAGACCAAAACAACGCTGGATCCCAAATAGACCCTTGAGTCACGCCGTGTGTGACGTCAGGGCTACCAGATCTTCCACGGATGGTCCGCATGCGATCCGGGGGCCGAGCATGGCATCGCGTGACGCCCATATTGTGCCTTCCAGCTTCTCCACTGGTAGGCAGTGCCGGACTGTGTCAAATGCTTTTTGGATATCGGCAGTGACCAGCGATGCCAGCACAGCTTTGTTCGCACGTCTGGTGGCGACAGTGACTTTGCCACGAGGGAGGGTTGGGGGGGGGGGGGGGCATGTCCTCCTGGGCCTGGCAGGGCCTCATCCTCGAACCTAAGACAGGGTCTCGAAACGACGAAGAGCCCTTGGGCCCTTGGCTGCAAAGGCCCCTATATCCGATCCCCTGGAGGAAACGCTGTCTGCGCACCCGGACGGCGGGCACCACAGCGTGAAGCAGCGTCAGCGCCGCGGAGAGATCGGAGCGGGGTCTGGGCTGCTGATGCTGCACTCAGCAAGGTGCGGTCGGCCACTTCTCATCAGCGGCGAGCGTGAACATGTCTTACCTACATATGTAAATGATGATGCTGGTGAATTCGTTTTCCAATACGGGACCAAGCAGCTAAGCTAATCAATTAATGAATTAAAATAAATAAGGAATGAAGGAAGCAAACATAACTTAAATGAGTTAAATAAATTCAAAATTAAGATTTTTCGCGTTCCACGAGCGTAACCGATAACCTGTGAACAACTTAGAGATGCATCGCATGTCTTGAAAGATTGCGCACCATTCTCGCTCCAAAACGCCGTGCGATTCGTTCGAAATTTCCAAGGCCAGGACGGTAAGCGGGCCGACATTTCCTGCGGCTGCATCAGAATGAAGCGGTGCCGGTGTCGGGGAGGCCGGCGGAGACCGCCGTTTCAGCTGTGTACGCCACCGCAGCGCGGGTCAAGTGACAGCCCATCACGCACCGAACCTGACGCCTGCCCCGCTCGCTCGGACGCCTCCGAGCACAGCGTCTCACGAGCTGGGCCGCCACAGCACGCCGGACCCTCATGGAACACGGCTTCTCGTGGCACCGGGAGCGGCGTTGGACCCACCAAAAGTTGCGCGGGAGGGGAGTGTGCTCTCGGGGAAACGCCAAGGGGCCAATATTACGTTTGGTGATGGTGGCAGCCACCTCTCACACTCCCTCCTGTCCCCCGTTTTGAGGCATGCATGGCCACTTTTTCCTGCTTAGCTCCCTTTACCCCCACACATATTAATTTGGCGGAACTACACCCGAGCATGAGCATGACGTTAAGTGATGGTAATCAGATAAAGGGACGTGTCGGAAGTATGATGGCAATATACCCACAACCGTCATGTCATTTTAAAACTCATTTTGCGCCGACCAGTGGACATCAAGCCGCAGGGGCTTCCAGTCTGCCGCCAACTTGAACAGGAGCGGCCGTCACACTGAGTGTCACACGAGTGTCACACCAAGTGTCGACTGCTTCAGTGGGGCCATGGGGCCTTGGCTTTAATGGGATCTGGCCGTCGCCCGGCAACTACGCCAGGCAAAGATGCTTCGCTCTGTTCGGGTGGTTGCCATGGCGACAGACGGCGTCTGGCGCGTGTCGCCTGTCGAGCCGCCGCCGCCGGCGTTCGCGGAAAAGCCGCCAATGAGGCACAGGGATCGGGAGCGCGTGGCCGCCGGGCTCTAAGTGCGCGGGCGTTGAGATGCCCATTCTGCAAGTGTTCAGGAAATGAAGCAACGGGGCGGAATTTTAAAATACACGTGTTCGATGCGGAGATTTCTGCGAATGAATGACGGTAACAGACTGCATGCCATCGCAGGCCAGCAGACGGAGATATTGAGAACAGATTGGCTCCTGGGGGAGACGGTGCTCTGGCCGTTAAAGAAACGGTCCACATTTTAAGATATTGGAGCAAGCATCATATGTGAAAGTAGCTCACCTATAGCTATTGCGGCACTTACGTGGGAAGCACTGCTCTAGACAACGCAATTTGTGTATTGTAAATATGCTCCGCAATATCTCATCGTTAAATTGCGTCATAAAACATTTGTATGACAGCAATCACTTGCAGTTCTTCAGTCTCCCGTGAGGTGGCGGCATAGGCTGGAAGTGTTTGCTGAGCCAAATATCGCTATGTACTCGTGTTATGTGCTCGTGCTATGAGCTCATGTTTTGGCCATTGCCCGTGGTGTTCTTGCACGTTTATGCATGCACTTAAGTTGTCAGCTTGTGTCCAATGCTTTGTTATAGTGCTATTCTTAAGTCATCCGATTACAAATCTTAGTTCACTTATCACTTTAGAGAACGCATAGCCTATTGTATTATGTAGGACAAAACATAGTTCGTATCAGAATCTTAAACAGCTTGCCCAGCGCTGGATGAAAGCCGACTGACGGCTATCCTATCTGAAAAGCGCGCTCCCGATCGCCAATCGTCAACAACTCGACAATCATATTTTCCTTAACCTTGAACGCCGCCAACAACTGACAGCTGACAATCATATTTTCCTTAACCTTGAACGCCGCATGGCCAGTGAAATGGCAGGATTCAGATGACGCTACCATGACACCGTGGATGCCTGGGTAACGTTAAAATAGTCTGCACGGAACAGTCTGCGTATCTTTGCCGGAATGTAGCTCAGAGACTAGTGGGTTTTGGGTTCTACGAAAGGCTAGGCTGGAACTGTACCGAATGATCTTAAACACGGCTATTTCAGGTCAAAACCCCAAACAAATGAGGAGCACTCTCAGTAAGCAGCGAACCAGTCCCTGCCAGCCCCCATCGACCC